TTGCTGCTGTGCCTCCTTGACATAAAGGCCAAAAAAAGGAATACTTTGGCATGGAATCTCAGTATTATTGTTATTATCATATGATGATGATGATGTAAGATAAAAGCAATATCAAGTCGTGTGTACAAATGAGTTTTTTTTTTTTTTAATAACAGGGCCATGTATTTATGATGTGGCTTTTTTCCTCCTGGAATTGTCCTTTTTTTTTAAATAACAGGGCCATGTATTTATGTTTGTTTGTTTTTTTCCTCTGAAATTGTTGCGTGTCTGTGTGTGTGTTTAAGTTTAAAATTTTGTCAAGCAGCGTTTGGGTCCAAGCTGATTTCAGTTTATTTGAAGTTGAAACAAGAAAGTGACAAAAAAAAAAAAAGATGTAGCTGATGCTAACGTGGCATGCTAACATTGTCAAACTGGAGGGCTTGAATGGCCAGGCTGATTATCTTAATGTGCCCAATAAGATGAATGACGCCCCCCCACCCCCCTCCTCTTCCTCATCCTCACTTTTCAGCAGTTGTGCCATAAACGTACTCGGGGTCCCGCACCACACACCCTTCGACCACGACGATGACGACGACACACTGGTTTGACGGTTGTTGTTTTTGTTTTTTCCGAATGACAATCTCCCCCTTGTCATGAGAGGTGCAAAAAAAAAAAAAATTCCAATTACTACTTCTTTTTAGTTTTGATAATTTCCACTGCACACACCTTTCTTACAGTGCTTTTGTAAACATTTCTAGTGTATTTACAAGAAAATAAAACTTGCTTTCAAGTGCAAAGTGGCCTGCTGCTCTTCTTTTTTTTTTTTTTTTAAACAGATTTATAATGCACATTTGTTAAAAACTTCCTTCAGTGTTTAAGACACAATGTAAAAATTAGCACTATAATTTTAAAGATCTTATAAACCAACCTAAATTTATTTCATTTTGGTAGATATATTTTTTTAATTATTAATCTGCACTTCATGTGATTGTTTTTTTCCGTATATTTTTGTCAGTGTGCAACTTGTATTCACTTTTTGATCTACTTTATTTGCATCAATTTTTACTTCGACATGAGTCAAATATGGAAATATTTTTTGGGGTAATTATTTTCTTTGATTTTTTTTGGGTTACTGGATATTGGTATTTTGGCTGGGGTGATAGTAAATTACAGGATGTTAAATGTTTTTTTTTTTTTTTTTACAATGGCGGGAACACGCTCCTCCTGAGTTTCCACAGCCTGTTCTAGGGAAAGCTCACGAGTGATGACGAATTGGGATTGTCGGGAAATATTGTACAAGTCGTCAATTCAAAATGTAAACACAAAACAAATCACACGCTTACAGTCGTTGATACGACTGTTGTTGTTCTCTTGTCCCTTCTGGCTTGACATAAAGATATTTTGAGCACATGTGCCATTTCAGGAACGTGTATTAAAGTGGCAGCTCTTTGCATGAAGCCGTCGCCAAGAGGAAGCTTTCGGTTTCAAAAAGGTCATTGACCCTGCTGTCCAGTCATCACGAGACTGGAATCCTGTGATTTATGTTTTATGAGCTTCCTTCATTTTTTTTTTAACCCAGTCAGGACTTGCGACACACAGTAAGTGCTCCTTGTGACGACTCCACGACAAGTTTCGAACTGACGCTCCCCTGGAAGAAGCCACGACCCACGCCTTTGCAAACACCCCCGACGCGTCTGCCGGAAATGCTCCCTTCAACAATTTTAAAAAGGAGAGAAATAATATGTCCCAGCCGTGAATCTTTAATGAAATATCGATTGCATGCTAATGTAAACAAAGGGTATTTTGTGTGGTTCTAATTCCAAAACTAATTTGTTTTATTTATAGATCAAAATAAGATAAATAAAATCTTAGCGTGTTCATTCTTCAGAGCACCATCTTTGACTGACTGTCTTTTTGTGGCCTATCATTGTTGCGTTGTCTTCTTTTTTTTTTTTTGCTGAGTTTTCTACTTCTCTTTCCGCGTGAGCAACTGTTTTTTGTTTTCCTTTTATTAAGCAACAACAAGTCAACGACCTCAAAAAACTGCTGCTGTATAGAAAATCTATGCAACCACAGCACGACCATTGAGTTGAAGGAAAATATATAAAAATAAAGTTCTTTAAAAAAAAAAAAAACGTGTGAGGTGTACCTTGAGTTAGTTTTAACATTTTTATGTGAACAGAAGTTTTGACCTCTCTTGTTTCTACACTTGTGGAAGAGTCCAAAAAAAAACAGAAATGAGTGGAAAGGTGTCCTGTTGTGCACTTCTGAGAGCAGCCTGTGATGCAATCGTGAGCGGCTGGACGAGTAACCTTTTGCTCTGCACACTTACATCAATGCAAACAAATGTGCAATGTGTGTTCATGTGCGTGTGTATCACTATCTGGGTCATTGTCTAGTCAATGAAGGACAACGCACAGAAAATCACACAGTAGCATGAGCATCGATCCAATAAATGCTGACGTAACACCTACACTTTATTAAAAGCAGATTTAAAACCCGAGCCCGAGTTCAGGGGTGGGAAATTGCAGTCCTGGAGGGCGGCTATCCTGCATGTTTTCCATCTCTTCCTGTTGCAAAGTACCAGATTCAAATGATCAGATCATCAGCAAGCTCTGCGAAGCCTGATATTGAATAGGGTGTTTTGCAACAGGGCGACTTGGAAAACATGCAGGACAGCAACCCTCCAGGACTGCAATTGCCCACCCTCTGCCCTAGTTTGAAACACTAAGCTAAAACTCTAGAACCCTACTCTACTTTGAAACCCCAACATTAATTTAAAAACCCTACTTTGAAACCCCAACCCTAGTTTAATACCCTAAACCGAGTTTAAGACTCTATTTTGAAATCGAAACCCCAATTTTAAACTATACTTTGAAACACTAACCTTTATTTACAACTCTACTTTGATGGCCTCACTTTAGTTTAAAACGTTACTTTCAAACCTTAACCTTATTTTGAAACCCTAACTGTCGGAGAGTGTGACGCATATTTGCGTATTTTGAGCGACGGAAAATACTGTAATACTGTATATCATTTTATTTTAATATTTCCAGATCACAATATTCTTACAATTTACAACTACAACTAAACAAACGAACAAACACAAATCAAATACTTTTAAGATATTGTGCAGTTTTCGTGTCGCTTGGCTTCCCGCGCAGGCCGCCTGTCAAATCTGCTTGGTGACACGTCAAGTGCTCGCCAACTTCTCTGAAGAATGCGAATGCAAAGGCTCACCACCGAAATTCCACAAGGTCCGAAAAAAAAGAAGTTTTGGTGTCGGGATGCAAAATAACGTGTAGCCAAACACTGTATTTTCTTATCAGGCTATGAACAGCTCGACACTAATTCGTACAACTACTCACTATAGCTGTCATTACTTCTCCTTCCTTTTTCATTTCAATAGTATTTTTATAGCAACCAACACCGCCCCCTAGTGTACAGTCAGGGAACAGAACAGAAGTGATTCACGTTTGTGAGACAAATAAGATACACTTTCATCGGATATTTATCATTTATTTTCCCAAGCCACGCAGAGCCGTAACATAAGAATGAAAGAGCCGCAGGTCGCCGACCCCTGCCCTAAAACCTAATCCTAACTTGAACTCTACGATTCCAAAATCAGAGGGAACAACTGACAACGTATGATGGGAGACCAGCAACTGTGACCGGATATCAAGTCAGACTTGAATAGGGTCACTGCAAATTTCAAAATGGTAAGTGAGAGTTTTTATTGACCAGCCTCTGGGAAGTTTTAGAGCGGCAAGTTAGAATGGAGATGGGCTTTGTCGCAGTTCAGGTTAAGGTTATCACGATCTTTGAAAAGCGGTGTGACTGCAGCAGATTTTCCAGTCCAGCGGAAACGCAGAAACTTTGACAGGAAACAATAGATGGGAGCTGGCGCTGCGATGAGCTGAGCTGCTAATTTCCAAAAGAAAGGATCCAGTGCATTTAAAATCGATGCACATCGACTATTTAGCGTCCCGAGTTGGCAGGACATAAAGAAGACGTGTCCAACAGAAGATTCAAATCACACATACAGGATTTAATCTTTTAATAATGTACTCATTTTGTGGGGGTCACGTGACAATCACCCGACTGCATAATTACCCCCCCCCCACGACACACACACACACACACACACACACACACACACACACACGCGCGCTACTTGAGGTGTCACCATTGAATCGGAATTACACACTTGAACACGCGACTGGTTACGAAGTGCACTCTGACGTCACTTTACGACGTAACACGACATGTCACAGCTACAAACACGTCAAGTGCATGCTGATGCATTGCTGCATGAATAACATTAAATGACAAACGTACTACAGTCAAAGACAGTAATTCTACATAGCGATCCGTTTTCATTGATAAAATGTGTCTGTCGTCTGTCGAATCTCTGGCGTCATCATCATCATCATCAACATCATCGCCCACGTGCTTTTGGATAGACAATTTCAGAATATAGTGCATACATCTACTGTACATAGAAAGTCTTTGAAATCAGTTTATGATATTGATTCATCATTAATGGCTTTACTGAACTTGAGTTTGGCAGAAGCTTAAAAAAAATTAAATTAAAAAAAAAAGGAATATATGCAAACTCTCTGCATTACGTCTCTGTGTGCTTCTTTATTAAATATGTTGGTGACTAAACTGCTACCTTGATCAGAAATAACTTAAGCATATAAATAAATCACACCATAAATTCGGATGAACGAATAATCCTTCATTCCAAACAAAAGCCAAACTTTACATTGTAAAGATGAACATTTTCTCATCTTGACTCAAGAGGAAAAAAAAAAAAAAATTGACTAATTCTACTTATCTAGCTCGTTAAGTTACTCGGCTCGCCAAATAGCGAGCCAAGTTGGACCTTCTGCTGGCCCTTTTCTTTCAATCTTTTGACTTACGTACACAAAAAGAAAAAAAAAATCCAAATGGGAACACTCACGTGATAATATGACGTCGCTGTCACCAAACTACAACACAGTGACACAAAACCTCATACGAGTGGGCGGGGATGCGTGGACCGCAGGTCATCAGTCGAGGGCGGGGTCGCAGGCTGGACCGAGATCTCGCCGGTGGATCCTCACTGATCACTGATGGAGATTCTAAACCAAGCACATGTGATTTTTGGAGAGGCTCTTCTTGTTGCATTGACATCTTTGTGACGGCACCGCTTGTGGTGTGTGTGTGTGTGTGTGTGTGTGTGTGTGTGTGTGTGTGTGTGTGTGTGTGAGAGAGAGAGCCTTAGACAGCAGGAGGCAGTGGAATACAGATAGACAGATGGTCATAAGATCAGTAAAGCTGCAGCTCTCCTCAAAAGAACCTGTTTTAATCCATGCACCATCTACATGTAATGCTCCACCGTTTGTATTCAAAGATCCATCGCTTTAAACCAGGGGTGTCAGAGTCATTTTTGTCACGGGCCAGGTTGTCATTCTGCTCACAAACACAACAAATTGATGGATAACTACTTTTGAAATCAGAAGTCAGTAAAAAAAAAAAAAAAAAAAAACATTTCTTATGTTTCATGATTATAAGGCAACCTTAGCTTAGCAGTTAGCATGGCTTCTTTGTCTTTTCTCTTCGTCCGTTCATGAAAAACGATGCTTGTCGGGAGCGTAAGCTGACTCGCCGCCACGGCGTCTTTAATGACTGACTTGGGAGCGATTTTGGAACGTGTTGAGTCGCGTCTGTCTACGTCACACGCAGACTTTGCCTCAACCTCCGACTTCCCGTCGTAAGTGACTTGAGCGACGCGAGCGCGTCCAGCCCAGGGAAGCTTTTTGGGACGTCTCGGCGGTTGGGTCTCCGTTCTGCGATTCAATGTGTTTCGATGAAGCGCAAAAGACAAACTTTGCCGAGCGCATCGAGTTGCCTTGTGTATGAAATGCGCAACGCGGCTGAATTTCCCTTGCCGTCGTTCCAGCCGTGGACGACAACCATCTCACGAGATTGCGCGATTACCTGGGAACTCCAGGCGGCGGCGCTCTGTTGGGACGAGACGGTACGGACGGTCCGGGGTCAGGTGACACAGCCGGACGAGAGGGGGGGCCGGGTGGCGCGCGGGCCCCTGGGCGAAGGGGGCCGGGCGGGGCTCGGCGTTGCGGCGTCGGACTGGACATCGGGGACCTGGCGTGGCATTTATTTGCTTCAACTTGATTTCTCCACGGGAGGCTTATTCCGACCTAACGGACAAGTGACGTTTGTTTCCGGCGGCGTACCTGCGGCCTGACGGCATCCCCGTCACCTGCAGCCACGAGTCATCCACGGGCGGCGGCATGGAGGTGGTGACGGTGGACGTGCTGATGTCGCCGATGATGTTGAGTCCTTCTCGCAAAGCGTGGTACATCCTCAACATGTCGTCGCGGCGCTGAGCCTGACACGTCCGGACGCAAGGAGGGAGTCGAGGGCGTGCGCGGCGACGCGCGGCGAGACGGCGGTGGAGGTGGCTCTACCTGCTCCTGGGATTCCTCCATCAGAGTATTTTGGTCGGTACACGAGTAAAGCTGAGCCAGCAGGTCGGCGTGGATGAAGTCCTTGGTCTGAAGAGCAATCAAAGACATCGGCTGTGACATCACTTCCTCCGTGCGTTTGCCCGCCAAGGCGCGTCATACATTGTTGACCATAAGGTGCATGATGGTCTTGGGGACGAGGTCCCTGATGGTGCGATGGATGATTGACAGGTAAGAGTCCACCAGGCTCCGAACGATCTCCACCTGCCTCTCCAGCTGAGGATCCACGCTGTGGATTTGCCCGTCGCCGCTGGAGTCCTCCGCCTCCACCTTCAACCGCACACACACACACACACACACACACACACACACACACACACACACACACACACACACACACACACACGCTCATTATAATACTGCATTTAACATAAAGATTTTTTAAAAATTTTATTTATTCATTTTTTGCGGCCTTATTGAATAGTTATTTTCTATTCCATCTACAAAACTTTGTATGCAGCATTGGTTGTTTTACAGTGCGATATAAATACAGCGGAGTTGAGTGGAGTTGTAAAAATACGACGGTGTGAGGATCTTTTTTCCACATCACGATCTGCGGTGCTCCAAAGAAAACCACACCGACATCCTTATTTGCACTCCTGATTCTCAAGTTGTTTTCATCTGACTCACCTTTTCTTTATCCTGTAGGGGAACAAAGCAAATTTCACAGTGAAAAGATGATCAACATCATCATCATCATCATGAGGCGCTAATGAGGAGTACCACGCTGCGTTCGGGGTACACTCCCGCGCGTAGGAAAGACGCCTTCCAACTGTCCACCTCCTCCTGAGACTCACTGGCCAACTCCAGCTGACGGTAATCCTTGTACACGTTCCTTAAAAAAAAAAAACAACAAAAAAAAAAAAAAACATGCGTGCTTACGTACGTACTTTCGATTATATGCAGACAAATACATCCATAAATGCGTATCTCGTACCTGTGCTCAGTGTTGAAGAGAGCAAAAATGTGCTTGCTGGACATGAAACTCTTCTCGATGTCTTTGAGTTTCAAGTGATCAACTGTCAGCATGTACTTCTTGTCCTTCTCCTGCAGGAGGCAGTAGAGCCATCATCAAAGCGGCGATTGACGGCGATTTCAGTCAGTGGTAAAGAACGGTACAGGACAAAATGGCCGTGCTCCCCCCTAACACCATTTTTTTTTTTTTTGGATTATATGACCAAAAGTGTTGACTTGAATTCCCCGATAAGCTCGGGTAACAATTCTGAAGATGTACTGCACAATTTCTCGCTGTATGTCGTGTGCTAAGGGGACGTGAACTTGCACGAGCGTCTTACCTCGTCGTCTTTGTACCAGGACAAATTCTCTGCGGTCAAAACAAACCAGTACTCTTTGGCTCCGCCCTTCATGATGCCGATGTTATTGATGGTCAGCCAGCCTTTGCGGATCACCTGTCAGCAAAAGTGAGTCAAGGGCTCAGCAAGAGCGCCCACACATCGGCAGACCGACTCACTCACCATGATTTCATCCTGACAACCGGAAGCCAACCAGAGAGAAGAATGAGTGAATGCACCAAAATACGCCAGCCGGCATATATGCAGGTCACGTGATCGAGTTCACCTGATTGCCGCTCGCCTTCTTCTTGCTCATCTGACTGCTCTTCTGCTGAGCACTAAGGGAGCAAATACGACGGGGACCCATTGAGCAATTTCGATTTTGCCGATGACATCTTTTTTCCACGGTGACTTCGGGCAGTGGGCGGGGCAGACCCTGAACGGGTTGCCAACCAACCACGGGGCACACGTCGATGAACAACCGTTTGCAATCACACCAAGGGACATCTTAAGAGTGTTCCCTTGACCTGCCATGCATGTTTTGGGAATGTGGGAGGAAACCGGAATACCCGGAGAAAACCCACGCAGGCACGGAATGGGAGGACATGCAAACTCCACACAGGAAGTCCGGTCCCGGATTCGAACCCACGACCTGTGCACTGTGAAGCGGACACGCTAACCGGTCACCCCGCCGTCCCGCGTTACATGTTTCAAGCGGGTTTCAATTGATATCGAACGTAAAAAGATTGCGGTTCCCCTCCTCCACAAAGCTTTGTTTCTTTGCCCTTACTTTGCAAAACCAATGAAGTCTTCGTGGTTTGTGTTGATGTATGCCAACTCAATGTCCACCAGCAGCAGGACCTGACGTACGCACACACACACACACACACACACACACACACACACACACACACACACAAGGACAGAGACTGGTAAAGCTGGATCAAGACTGACTTATTTGACCACGACTTCCAAAAATTGTTGGACCGCGGCCATCGTGGCCCCACAACTAAAGCCGCAGCAGGCGTAATATTCGTGCCCTGAGACTCTTTTGTGACGAAGGGCTACGACACGCGGTAAAAACACGTGATTCGACAGACGGACGAGGAGACAGACACCTGCTCTTTTGTGCGACTTTCTCTGTCTCGGATGTGCTGAGTGACGATTCTTTCCATCTCTTCTCGCAGCAACGGGTACTGGGCCAACTGGAACAAACACATGTTAGCATCTACGCTGACCAGACGTGTGATGCGATGATAAATGGAGCAGTAACAGTAACGTGTCGTAACAGTAACGTGCTGAGGTAGTACAAGTAGAAGAGTTACCTTGAGGGCGCAAAGTCTGACAGTGTTGACGAGCTCGTTGATGACCAAGTCGATGCACTTATGACAAGGTTCTTTAATTTGGCTCATCTGACGCTTGACGATGGTCTCAAAGGCCATGTCGGGTGTGAACAGACCTGTCCTGAGCACACACAAACACACGACGATGAGACAGAGATGCTCACGCAGGCACTGGACGATGCCCGCGCGGATGACACAATGTCACCTGATGCCGTGAATGTTCTTGATGGCATAGCTGATCTCTTTGCGGAGAGTCTTCTCATCACTCTCCAACTGTACAAACAGGCACACGCGTACAGTCGAGACTTCGATATGTACGGAACAACAATGGCACCAAGTGGCTAATGCTGCTAATGCTAAATTAAGGATTTGTGCAATTTGACTCCACAAGAATTGAATAGTTTTTGTTGATCATAGTTTTGCTGATTTCTGCATTTCTTTTTGCACCGACGTGCGGTCACTTGAAATGGAGCCGTACACGTCCCAACGCCAATCAAACCGTTCCGGTCCGTTCTTGACGTGCGCGAGCGTGTGTGTGTTTACTTTGACGAGCTCAAAGGGGAAGCGCTCGTGAAAGATGCGATTGATCTTGGCTCCTCCCGAGAGCTCGCTGGTGTCCACCTGATCCCCGCAACCTTCGATTCGCTTCTCAAAGTCCACCGCAAACTGCTGCACCATCCTGAACAAAACACACACACACACACACACACACACACACACACACACACACACACACACACATAATCAATCTTTAAGTGTGGATGGTCCAGACGGCCCAGTGGCGACCTTGCCGAGTGACCATGTGCGTGTGTGCGTGCGTGCGTGCACTGACTGCAGCAAGGCTTTGGTTTTGCGAGAGGGATCGTCCGGATTGAAGTTCTTGTACTCCGCGACTTCCTTCTCGATGTCCAGCAGCTGCTTCTGAAGTTTGCTGCGTAAGGCGGGCAGCGTGTCTCGGATGTGATTGGTTAGTTGCTGTGGTGACACAGCCCAAAGCATAACGTCAAGTCAAATGCCAAGACAGAAGAGAGAGGAGCAAGGGAGAGTTGGGGGGGGGGGGGCACGCGTGCGCACGGACCTGGTTGAGAACCTTCTGCAGGTAGGCGGTTCCCATGCGCTCGGCCAGGTGTCGGTAGGACGCGTGGGACAGGAAGAACTTCCTCTCGGCCTGCAACGCCGCCGTGATGTCCTTCCGGCCGTCAATGTCTTTCTGACTGCGGTTGACCACGCCGACGTAACCTGACCGGGCCGGGTTGGGAAAGAGCTCGCAAGACCTTCACAAGTCCTCAACGCAACATAATACTTTGAACGACACCGGGGTGTCTAGCGCTCAAGGACAAGCCAGGTTTTGGTTGTCGTACCTCTGCGAAGCGGCAGCAGTTTGTTCTCCAGGATGTCTCTGGCATCGGTTCCTTCGTCCATCAGGTCGAGTTTGGTGATCACACCGATGGTTCGGAGACCTGTGCGCGTGCACACAGAAAATCAAGCGTTGGTACGCGTGGAAGTACAAGACGTGTAAGACGAGGATAGGGCGGGCCTTGGGCCACCTTGGGGGTCCACCTCCTTGGCCACCTTAAGCGCGTCGGAGTTGGCGAGGTCGGAGTTGGCGGGAGAAACGGCCAATAGGAGGCAGTTGTCCTTGGTGACAAACTGCATGAGCATGTCTCGAATCTGCTGCTCGATGTCCGCCGGCTGGTCGCCCACCGGGACCTTGGTCATCCCGGGAAGATCGACCAGCGTCAGGTTCAACACTGAGTGCGACACAAACACGTAAAACGTGTCAACACTCTCCTGTATGTGTGTGTGTGTGTGTGTGTGTGTGTGTGTGTGTGTGTGTGTGTGTGTGTGTGTGTGTGTGTGTGTGTGTGTGTGTGTGTGTTACCGTTGGGCGAGAAGACCCGTAGGTTGATGGGAACCGGACTGATTCCTTTGTTTTGTCCCGTCACTCGATCCGTTTCCGCTTCGATTTCCTGACGAACTTCCTCGAAGTCCGTGAACTTTTTTCCTTTGCAGTGCAGGAATTCGGCATATTCTGACGAAATGACGACGTCATCGGCGTTATTAGCCGCACGCATACCGGAGTGGACATGAAGTAGACACCCAGTACGCTTGATTGGTTCGGGGGGGTGTTCAGATGCGTATCATCATGCAGTTCACTGTCGGGTCCATCTCTTTTCGACAAAAGTCATGGCACATGTTAACAAACATCGTCACACGATTGACGCCTGTTAGCTTGTTAGCTGTCTCCGGAGTCAAAACTTAAACCCTGCTCAACGTCTGATCTGACTAATGTCCACCAAAATTCATATGCACATTCCAACTCTTGTCCATTTAAACCTGTAAATAAGTAAATAAATAAATCGGCACAAGACAACAAAACTGGCAGGGTTTACTTTCTGGACCAGAGCATGTTTTACTTGAGGCTCCCCTACATCAGGTTTTCTGTGGCTATCAGCAAATTAATACTTTTTATTGATATTCTTAATGCAACTGTGAGTTGAAGGCTTCGTAGTTTTCGAATGGATGGCTCTACGTAAAGAATGGGCAAAAGGAGAGATGGACTTCGTTAGAACGCAGCTTTTATTTTTCAACGTCTGCTCCGCGCAGTACTAACAAGAGAAAACACCTTCTTCCGGCTACTACAACACTTCCTGCTTTCCTTTAGCCAATCAGACGCTCTCAACATAAACATGTTTAAGAAATTATTAAAGACAATATAATTTGGGTAACCGTAACATGAAAGACTATACTGTAATGCTCAAACATAAAATGATAATAATTAACAATTGAACAAAAGCTTACACAACTTAAAACAAATGTCATGCCCACGATTTACGGCACACTCACACAAACCTAAAAGGATTAAATCTCATCCTTTACGCTAGAATGTTCGTACGCAGGCTTTAGGCACACTTGATAAATGGGGGCTCCAGATTCTACCTTGGAAACGTGAAGCAGACTTGCCGTCCACTACTTCACTTAAAATGCGGTCCAAGAAGAAGCCTCTCACCTGTTGGGCAGTTGATGAGTTGCAGCACTAGGGGGCGCCGAGTGACAATGCCAGACCCGCGCGGGAGGAAATCTCTGGTGGGAAACGTTAAGTATCATGAGTATGATCATCATCATATTACATGTGAAGCATTTTCATGTCAAATGCGACACCCCGAACCTTTCGACACAACGACACGGTATAGTTGTTGGTTGGTTGATGTCATGATTCATGAACAATCAGGGAAGGCTCCAGGATTTTTTTTTTCTCCCCTGGGGCTAAAAGGGGGGCTCGACCGATATCATATGGGAGCTGAGAAAATAATGTATAAATGTTATTAAGAATACAAAATAAAATGTTTTTTTGGAGGGGTTTAAGTAGGGCGACGCAGATTTTTGACAGCCCCCCCCCTCCCCACCCCCAGCCCCGGTATAGCGCCATCCCTGTGAACAGTTAAAGAGCAGGAAAAAAAAACATCCTCAACACTCATTCTCAATCAAGAGTAATAATAATGAAATATATTTTCCAGAATTCATCGAATCCAAAGATATAGTCGATGAAGATGAATGACTAAGAGGCTCCTGTTATGATATAACCGACGCGAATCATTCTGTTTGATTGCAGTCGTGTATTCAGAAGGCTGACGGAATGCCCTGTGCGCATCCAGCAGCTGAGTGCGGTTCGGTTGGGCTCTGCGGCAGCAAAGATGGACTTACTTGCCCACGAAATTCTCCAGAACGGAACTCTTGCCAGCGCTCTGGCCGCCCACCACGGCGATCTGAGGGAGGTCCAAACTGGCGTTCTGGCCGATGGCCGCGAACGCGTCCTGCAGCCGGTTGACCAGTGGGATCAAGTCTTCCATGCCGCGGTTGCCCATCTTGTCGTCCGGACGCCTCCTGCGTGCCTGCCTGCGTGCTGCTGCTGCCTCTCCTCCTCCTCGAGCCCCCCCCCCCTCCTCCTCCTCCTCCTCCTCCTCGTCGTCGTCGTCACGCAACGCGACGGCTGTTCGGACTCTGAGCTGAGATGCAATGACCTTCAGCTCATCCCCGCGCCAACCCGCGCCTTTGCACATCCGGCCAGTATCTTTCAAAACAAACGTCTGTCATGGAGCGTTTTGATTTTCTAGTTGACTAGTCAAATGGTGAAATCGCTTTGGAGTTAAAACAGGAAACATCATCAGAAAGGCCAAATGAGCTGAAAAATATACTTTTACTGTGAAAGACTGATGTTTCAGGTGTGTTGGAGAAAAGCTGACGAAGAGAGGACGTCATCAATCAGCTGCAGGTGCGCGTGAATATTCACTGTCTCACTCGTGGCCCCACCCCCCACTATTTAAATGACGGGGGGCCTCGCCGTCGTCTCTTCACTTTCAAGGCTCAGGCTGAAGAACATCCTGCACGTAAGTTTCCAGGCTAGTGCTTTTATCTCAGCCTTCATTTTGTGTGCGTGTAGTTAGTTGTTTTCGTGTTTGTATGCCAGGGGTGTGCAGAGGGCGCGGGCAACGAGGCGCACCCCACACCCCGACCCCCCTTTTCGACTAATTACCGAAAATGCGTTGGGAGCATGCATGTGATGTGCATTATGAATCAGTGGGGTGAAACTTTAGAAAAGCCCCGTGTGGCATCTCGTGTGCTTCAACACGCCATTGTTGTGCCCATGTTTGACTTTGAGCGTGTGCGTGTGCATTTCACCTTTTGTATGTGCTTGCGAGAGGCGTGGTCACGTTCATTGTCCGTGTGTCACGTTACTAGATGAATAAATAAAAAAAATGATCAAGTTTCATTGTATGAAGCTTGATCATGTTTCACGCCACAATACATCTTTATTAAATAATGCACCACGACTGTTGTGAACAATGTTCGACAGCCGCGTGTTGCGTAATTTTGAAAGCTCTAGTTTTTTCCGCTGCTCAGATGCAACATGGCGGCCTGCTCGTGTCAAACGTTGGATATTTGAATGTTACCATTGTGTAGCACTTGCCTAGCACACATGTGGCATGGAGTCTGGGAGGCCAAGTTGTCGGACCAGCTCAACTTAAAGTCTCCCCGGGTGCTCCCTGAGTCCAATTTGGGTCTTTCTGGACAGTCTGAGCCCTGAGTAATGGGTGGCGGCGCTTCGCGGGCACCCTGTGCTGCAACTCATTTCATCTTGCAGCAACTGTGTTGTTCAGTGCATCCGGTGTTTCTGTAATGTTTTTCAAAATGAGCGGCTGCCCCACCCGCCCTTGCAGGTGACACGATGGCATTCCACCCAGAGTTCGAGCTGGCAGGTCTTCGAGCCGGTCTCCAGGTGTGGAGGGTGGAGTGCATGGAGCCTGTTCCCGTTCCCGAGAGTCTTCACGGCTCCTTCTACTGCGGGGATGCATACATGGTTCTCAACACCATCAAATGCCCAGGGCGCCCCCTGCAGTACCGACTGCACTACTGGCAAGGTGCCGTCATAGGTGCCATACTGGCAAAGCGATCGGAGCGCAGCTCATGCCTTTGCTGTCTGATTGGGCCCGGATAGGCGAGGAATGTTCCCAGGACGAAGCTGGGGCGGCTGCTATCTTAACGGTCCAGATGGATGACTTCCTGCGGGGTGAGCCAGTCCAATACCGTGAAGTCCAGGGTCACGAATCCACCGCGTTTGTGGGATACTTCAAATCGGGACTAAAGTACTTGGTAAGTGGAGCAGAGTGGTTACCGTGACGATAAAGGAGATGTTCTGGTAAGGTTGGCATGATGTATCACAGGCAGGGGGCGTGGCCTCGGGATTCCAACACGTGGAGACAAACGACACGGACATCAGGAGACTGCTGCAGGTCAAAGGGCGACACGTTGTCAGGGCTACCGAAGTCCGCCTCAGCTGGGAGAGTTTTAACAGGGGGGACACCTTCATACTTGACCTGGGGAAGGTGAGAAGGAAGTTGGTCGTTTGGCTGGCAGGCATGCAGGCTCTTTAAAAAAAAAATCTCCTCGTCCCACCAGGAGATCATCCAGTGGTCTGGTTGCCATAGTAACCACTTTGAGAAACTGAAGGCCACTATGGTGAGTAGTGATGTCATTGTGGTGGCTCGCGATGTCATCAGGAAGAGACGAGGATCCTATGATGATGTGGGCGGGACTCCGTTGTTTGAGTGACAGGTGTCCAAGGGTATCCGTGACAATGAGCGTTGTGGGCGGGCCTCGTTGCTGATCTGCGACGACGGCTCGGAACATGGAAAGATGATGGAGGTGAGAAGCGCTGTCCTGTTGTTTTTTTGTCACACTGCGAGTCGGAATGCTTCTGACCTTTTGTGTTGAGGTCCTGGGGGACAAACCCGAGCTTCCGGAAGCCCAATCGAACGACATCAAGATGGACGCCTGCAACAGGAATCTGGCAAAGCTTTACAAGGTAAGACACGGCGTACTATGGAGAGGAAGATGTTAAATATCGGAGTGATCGTTCTTATATTTGGCCGCGCTTAAAGTAGGCTTAAGTAGAGATGTCTGCAAGAATTTTAGTCACCTCAAATGTATTTCTAGCCCGCTTTAAAACAATCACCAGTGCATACAAAATGCTTCTCCATAGAGCAAAAATTAGTAATAGAATAATCAATATTTGCGATACATCTTTATCTCTGGTAAGAAGGCTTTCATTGTGACTGGGGGTACGGGGGGGGGGGGTTCCATATGTTGCTCCTCAGGTGTCGAATGCAGATGGCAACCTGGATGTGGCCGTGGTGGCCCAACGTAGTCCCTTCTCCCAGAATGCTTTGCTGTCCAGCGACTGTTTCATCCTGGACAACGGAAGCAACGGACGCATTTACGTGTGGAAAGGTTGTCACGAGTCTCTCGCAATTTCAAAAACCGGCGCGCATTTGTGTTTTAAGTATATGCATGCGTGCTCGCGCAGGGAAGGACGCGAACGCGGAGGAGCGCCGTGCTGTCCTCAAGCTTTCCGAGCAGTTTATCCATAAAATGAATTACCCAACACACACTCAGGTAAACACACACATATATACATAGTTGGCTGGATGTTGTGTAGAACTAAACGCCGCCCCTTCAGGTGGAGGTTCTTCCAGAGCACGGGGAGACGCCGCTCTTCACGCAATTCTTTGAGGACTGGCGCCATCCCGATGACGTGGTTGGCATGGGAACGGCCTACGTGTCCAATCAAATCGCCAGGATTGAAAAGGTGCGCAGAGCTTTTCTTCTCCTCCTGATGGCTTTGACAGGGTTGGGCTACTTTCTGATTGGACAGGTCCCGTTTGACGTGGCGTCTCTCCACCAATCGGAAGCCATGGCGGCCCAGCACGGGATGTTTGATGCGGGAGACGGCGACAAGCAGGTGCGGTCAGAGACGCTCGCGTGCCCGTCTGGCTGTCCTGGAATGCGTGTGCGTGCGTGCGTGCAGGTGTGGCGGGTGGAGGGGCAAGACAAAGTGCCAGTGGACTCGTCGGTGGTTGGCCAGTTTTGGGGCGGAGACAGTTACATCATTCTCTACCGGTACCATCACAAAGAGCGAGACGGCAGCATCATCTACATTTGGTAAGATGATCGGAAAAGACCGCCGGTGCTTCTTCTGGCGCACTTTGAACGCATCGCCGTCACCCAGGCAAGGAGCAGAATCGAGTCAGGACGAGCTCGCCGCCTCGGCCATTTTGGCACTTCAGCTGGATGAGGAACTGGGAGGCGGGGCCGTGCAGGTGAGCAAGTGCGGTCCGGCGGCGGGTTTCGCACGTCCCACTCCACTTTTGTCCGCAGGTGCGCGTCGTCCAGGGCAAAGAGCCCGCCCACTTTATGAGCATGTTTGGGGGCCAGCCAATGGTGGTCTACAAGGGCGGGACATCCAGAGGGCGGGGACAAACGCAACCGGCCAGTCTGCGCCTATTCCAGATTCGAGCCAACGTCGCCGGGGACTCCCGAGCTGTGGAGGTGAGGACGGGCGTCAAATAATCCCACCCAACGTTGAATGACAGCTGCAAGTTGAGAGAAACTTGGAAAACCTTTTGTTGGATGTCGAAAGCGCTTTCGGAGTAACCATCAGTTGGTTGCATGTGATTGCAATACCTGAAAGACGGTGACTTGGCGCTTGGGGGTGGGGGGGGGGCGGGGGGAAGACATGCTGTCCAACTAGTTACAGCTGCAGATCTCAATGTTTTGACCGTTGCGCCCGCCAGGTGAGGGCGTCGTCCTCCAGTTTGAACTCCAGCGACGTCTTCCTGCTGGTGTCATCTTGGGGATGCTGGATGTGGAAAGGTCGCGGCAGCGGCTCGGCTGAAGTCAAAGGGGCCCAACATCTGGCCCAACTCCTGAGGGAGAAACCTGTCCAGGTGGATGAAGGAGGGGAGGAAGGTGAGATGCGCCCCCCCCACACCCCCCACGAGAACCAGTAAGCAGAAGATGGCGGCAAATTTGCTTTCAGGGGATTTCTGGGAAGCGCTGGGCGGCCGCCAGGACTACTGCGAGTCTCCCCGATGTGAAGCTCAAATGGAGGCTCATCCTCCTCGTCTGTTCGCCTGCTCCAACAAGACCGGAACCTTTCTGGTCAGTCGACGGCGTGTCGGAAGCTGAAGGTGATATATTTTTGTTTGAGGGTTGCTGCCATCAGGGTCTGCTGTTCTTGTCTTCAGATGGAGGAAGTTTCTGGTGAGCTGACCCAGGAAGACCTCGCCCCAGATGATGTCATGCTCTTAGATGCCTGGGAGCAGGTGAGTCACGCTTTCACCTCGTCTTCCGTGGCTGCCTGGGAGCGGGCAGCACCTTCCTTCCAACTGTGCCACTCGTAGACTTTGGACCTCCGTGGTCTTTTCCGCGTTGCTAACAAATGCTGACTTCCCCCCAGGTTTTTGTATGGATTGGGAAGGACTCTCAGGCGGACGAGAAAAGGGATGCGTTTGTTTCAGGTGAGTCAAAGCAGAAGTGGTCCTGAGAGCGGGCGGGAAATGATCCGCTGTTGTCTTCCAGCTTCGAGGTATATCGAGAGCGACCCGGGCAACAGAGACCCGCGTACGCCCGTGGTGACTGTCAAACAGGGATTCGAACCGCCAACCTTCACGGGCTGGTTCCTGGGCTGGGACCACGGCTACTGGACCACGGACCCCCTTCAGAGAGCCGTGCAGGCGCTGCACGCCTAACCCCGCCCTGCATCACTTTCTGTTCAACACCTTGAATAAATCCTGTCTGCAGATCTTTTTGTGTGGCCTCAGATGGGGGGGAGAGAAAGGAAAAAGCGCACAGATTGATGCGGGATTACTTTATTAGAGTCTCATGTTGCACAACGAAAAGCTTTACAAAGACAAACACAAGTCTGCTAAATTTCCCCATGATGGTCGCTTTACGTTCAGGCTTGTGATTAGTCGCCAATGTCAACGGCTAGTATTAAAGAACTGGTTTCCATAGAATTTCAAAACAAAATATGTTTTCTTTTCAAAATAAGACGTTTGGATCACGGAACTGATGTGATGGGCGGGGTGCTGTGTTGAAGCCTTTCCTGCTGCATTCAAACAAATTCCGTCGCGTCCTCGATAAAGCATCGGTTGGAAGGCGTGCATGGAAACGGGAAATGTCAGACGTTAAAGTTCATCTTGGACAGGGTGCGTGTGTGTGTGTTGCTATGGAACCTCCCACTCGCAGTTAACAGTGCCGCTGGGCCCGAGGCTCAGCAATTACCCGAATTGCGGAACTCGCCGTTTTCTGTGATCTGCAGGGATGATGTGTTGCTAGGCGACAGACCGTTCCTCTGCGAAGTCACGCCGTAGCGCTCCTTCAGCTGAGCCAGCGCCGCCATCAGGCGACTGTTGGTAGCGTCCAGATTTGCTATCCTCTTCTCCTGAGAGAGACAGAGAGACACACACACACACACACAACCGTTCAAATGATGAAAAATGTTCATTTAAATTGTGGGCAAGTCGTAAATCGGGCCGTATTAGAGGAGGAAGCACGCCATTTGCTCGCCCTTCCGTTAAAACAGACAAACCTGTGCCTCAATGATCTTTTGTTTGGAGTCAACCACAGCCTGCATGTCGGAATGGTCTTTTTTCAGCTCCTCTTCGACCGCCATTAACCTGCTCAGGTCAAAGAGCGTTAATGCGCGCGCACACACACACGGGCAGGTACGCGCGCACACACTGAGTCGTGAACCTGCTGATGATGCTGTTCATCTGGAGATCTTTGTCGTCCTGCAGCCTCCTCAGTCGACTTTCGGTATCCTCCAGCCGAGCCTGACGCACACAAACGGGCGCGTCGTAAAAGCTTTGATTTGCTGGCGCCATAAAAACTGCCAACGTCGTGTATGCATGTTGTGCTTGTGCGTGTGTGTTGGAACTGAAGAAAAGCTCTTGACTGTGGCCAAAGGGGAACATGGCAGTCCTCCCCCCCTGGGATTGAAAACGAGGTGACCAAGGAGCGATGAGTTGCACCCACCTGATATTCCTGCAGGAGACGCTGGTTCTGCTGATCCTGAACCACCAGCCGGGCCTCACACTCCTCCTGACGCAGAGCCGCCACACGAAGTTTCTCCTGCAGCAACGCGATGTCCTGCTGGTACTGCATAAGCACAAACACACACCGCGGGCCTCAGGTGAAGGGGGGCCGGTGGCAGGTTGAGGGGAGGTTACCGTTTACCTTCTCGATTAAGGCGTCGTCATGGCGATCGTCTTCCGCCTCGGCGTAAGAAGAGGCAGAGTTCATGTTGAGAAGCCAGGCGGCCGTCCGGTCCAACGCACATGGAGAGGGCGCCTGAGTAAACGCACGCGCACACACGTAAGTGTCATTAACTTAGCGTCTGGCCCCGCGGAGGTCGCCACGGTAACACACGCGGACCTTGTTGGCGGTCCGCAGTTTTTCGGGACTGTCTCCTTTGGATGAGGACGAGGCCTGGCGCAGTCGCGAGTGTCCGCTGCTCGGCCAATCGGGACTGGAGGACATCATGCTTCCGGAGGCGGGGCGTGGAGGGAGCATGCTGGGTGGCGTGCGGCCCCGCGGCGGGCCCGGAGGGGGCGCCGAGGAGGGCGGCGGCGGTTGGTCGATGCGACGCTGAGGACCCGAACTGTTCTGACGAGGGGGGGCGGCGCCACCTGGGCCAAGAGTGAGATTTCATCATCAGTGACATCACAGACATAAATGGACTGAAAATCGTGAAGCGAAAAGTGCACGTTTGCGCCCCCTCGTCCATTTATAGTGTTCACGCACGCCTCCTTAGGCACGTGCAAATTGGTGGCTCACAAAAATGGTGGGAGAATGCACGCACCTGCAAGGTGCACAAACCAGACACCAAATACGTCGCCGAGGTATGGGCTGTATATCTATGAATGCAAACACCTGCGAAATCATCATGTCGACGTGTCGAAGGAAAGGAAAAAAAAAAAAGTTACTTGTGATGTTTTCCGAGAGCGAGAGCGCTCGTCTGTTCTGCTCTTCTCCGCTGCTGCTGCTGGACATGGCCGACAGACGCTCTCCTCGCTCGCCCCCGGCGGCCACGCCCACTTGCATCTGGGTGAGGAAGGCGGGTTTGGGCGCGGCGGCCGGGTTGCGCTCATCTCCGCCCTGCGAAGTGGCCGAGCCGTCGGAGGGCGTGGCCTCGGCCCTGTGCGGCTGTCGCGACGACATGTGATAGACGGGGTTCTGGAAAGACAGCGGCAGCAGCCCCGCCCTGCGCTGCCATTGGCTGTCGTCAAGAGCGTCGCCGGGGGAGGCGTCCTGCAGGTCCACCAGAGACAGGCTCCGCCCTTCCGCACTCATTTCCTGCCCCGCCCTCCCGTACGCCGCGTCGTCGTTGGGCTCCGAGTAGGAGGAGCTCGGGGCCGGAGATCCTCGCGGGCCTACGGGAAGACGCGGAAGGTCACCGACGGGGCTTCGGGAGTAGACGACGGGTGAAAGTGGAAAGGTCACCTGATGCCGGCTGAAGGCTGGAACCTTTTGTGACGAAGAACAAATCTTTGTTTTCGGGTGTGGGTGACGGAAGCCTGGTAAAGTCCACCAGCCTGCAACAGATCTGTGAGTTATTTCCAGAGAGCTTGAGTGACGGCTATTCTGCTCCCGACGGTGTTGTGGCCCCTCTAGTTGAATGTTGTTTTTTTTCATGAGTGTTTGTTCCAAGGTCGCAAACAGTCACAAAGATTGATCTTTTGATGTATTCGTTCACATTGCAAAAACAAATGCAACTTTTAATGTGATCGGAACGCATCCGCGACGTGACACGCATGCGCACAAAGCACATCGTCGAGTGACAAGCACAAAAGATGAAGTGGCAGTATTTACGGAAATGTCGTTTTTATCAGTTTATATCGACAGAGGAGCGGTGCGGGAGGAGGTAGAAATATTTTGGGGAAATGAGACGGATCTCCTCATTTCATGGAGATGTCTGCCAACGATGACGTCACGTGATTGCCGTGCGTAATCTGATTTACATCAAACGAGGAGAGAAGACCAGGTCCGATTTAAAAAAAATAAAAAATTATGATTATTTCACTGCATGAAAAAATAAAGAAAAAGATACGTGTGGCATACGATCTGCAGTGAGAACCGACCGAGCCTTTGTACTCCAGCTCTCCGACCTTCTCGTGAGGCGATTGCAAAGATGACACGGGTGTTGAGACTGACCCTCCATCCAGTCCGACGCCACACTGCTGGCCGAGTGAGGGATTGCAGGCCGCCAGAGGAGGCGAGAGGGGCGGCGACAGAGGCGGCGGGGACGCCACGTGCTGCTGGAGCTCGGGCGAGGAGGCCGAGGCTCTCCCGGGATAAGCCCCGCCCCCAGGGTTGGCCAAAGCCGCCGAGACGTCTCTGAGAATCCGAGGAAGCGGACTGAGCTTGCACAGACACGACTGAGGACACAGTGAAAGATGGAAGCGGCCTACTTAGTCATTTTGACTGCGCGTCTGAATGTTTGGCCCGCGCACGGCCGGTCACCTGATCCAGCTCGGCGAGCAAAGTGTGCAGGCAGGAGAGCTCCCGGCCGAGGTCGACGTATCCGTCGAAGCCGGCGCCGGTGTGGTTGAGTCCGTCGGGATTGGAGATCTCCTGCAGGAATCGCTGCATGCTGCTCCACTGGCGCTCCACAAAGTCGTTCATGAAGAGCATGTACTCTTCTTTGGTGCCGAACCTGAAAAGCGACAGCGGTGCGAACGGATGTGCGCGCGCGTTACAGCGGTCGGGGCGGCGGCAAACGGGTCGGCCGAATGGACTCACTTGCTAAAGTTGGCCAGCGTCTGGATGACTTTAGCGATGAGAGTCAGCGTGCGAGCCGTGCGCTCGTCCGGGTATCCTTGCGTCAGGTCAAAAAGCGACGGTGACATCACCGCCGGGCACAGGAAGCGCAGGAAGAGCGACGCGCTGATCAGGCGCTCGCTGATGTCTGGTCTCCCGCGGCTGCTGCACTCCTGACGCCACGATGCAAAAACCTCCTTCAGCTCACGAGGAAACACCCTGTAGGTGGCGCACACGCACGCCACCGTCACATCGATGACCTGCACACGTCGAGTCGGCGCCAAGTGCGCATCCGCGTGGTTGTCTTGAGTGTGACCGCGCGCATGCATGTGTGAGACCTGTAGGAGTCGAGTATCTTGCAGAATGCGAGTTCGCAGCACATCCTGAGGTTGGCCTGATGCTCTGCCAGGTCCGAGTTGGCACAGCGCGACGCGTCCACCTCGCAGTTCTCGTCGGACTCGTACAGAGCTTTGATGAACTCGCCTGAACACACGCACACGCCACATGTGCAGTCCTGTGCGGCGCGGCGCGTTGCGTTGCAAGTGTGCGGCGTACCCAGCGCGTCCTGCAAGTACTTTTGTCCAATCAGCTTCAAGTATTCCTCAATGCTTTTTGTGGCCAGGGTGTTCTCTCTGAAGATCAGCTGATCGTTGTCACGGTAACGGTCCACCTCCGACATCATCAAGTCCGTCAGGAAGTCCTGCGGACGGGGAGGGTCAGTCGACGCGCGACGAGGGCGGGCGGGCGGACGGCGGCGGCGGGCCTCGTACCTTGGCCTTGCCGGTGCTGTGCAGGATGTGAACCAAGGCGGCCGCCACTTCCTCTTTGGCTCGCAGGCCGATGGAAGATTCCAGCGTGTTGCACAGCAGCAGGTAGTTGGCGCTGATGAACTCGGCAAACTCTTTGTACTGCTCCATGGGCAGGATGACCACACTCTGGTAGCGCGCCTTCACCCGCACCGTCGGCACACTCGACTTACCTGCGCAGAAACGCGGCAGCATGACAAAATCGTAAACGGCGGATGCCGTGAGCACTCCAGCACATATCTAAAACAAAAAGGCGGGCGTGGGCCGACGTGGGACTCACCTCGGATGGTGCTGGGCATGCTCACCGTGTACCACTTCTCCACCAGCTGTCGGCCCGTTACCGTGACGACGGGGATGTTGACCAGGCCCACGTAGCTGCTCTTGTCCTTCTTGCGTTTCCTGTCCGTGTCTTTGTAGATGTGCAGCGTCATGGCGCTGACGCACGGCAGACTGCTGAAGTCGAAACGCTCCCCCCAAAATATGTTGTCGGTCTTCATCTTGCAGGACGTGCGTGCGTACAGGCTGTCGTCCAGACAAAGTTCACAGAAGTACCTGCACGCAAGCCAGCGGCCGTCGACACAGGCCGGGGTAAGTAGTAGAAGTCTTCAGCTTCTCAACCTCCAACCACATCCAAAGTTTCCGGGGTCAACATCAAGTCAGACAGACAATTTTGCGAAGTCACCACATCTAAAATGGACACGCGAGCGATCAATAGAGGCGAAGGAGACGTCACCTCTTCTTGGCGGGCAGGTCCTTGGCTTCGATGACCCACAGGGTCAGAAGGTTCTCCACGCGTCGGCTGTTGTCTTTGTTGGGCTGCACGGCTCGCCGCAGGTTCTCCATCCACTTGTCCCGTTCGGCCGCCGAGCGACACGAGAAGCACTTGGTCCCCGTGGAAGTGGTCACCTGCCAACCAGTCGCAACGGCGGATGTTGGGAGTCGGCCAAGGCGCGGCGCTCGCCGACCGACCGACGCGTGTCTGACCTCAAAGCAGTAGTCCTGGCCCAGAAGCGACGAGTGAACGGGTTTGATGATCACCGATTGGTCCATTTTCAGCTCCAGAGAGGCCACGCCCCCGTCGCCTAACACTGACTCCTGGCTAGCGCAGTGCAGCCGACGCATCACACGCCTGGACACAAGACAAGCATCTCGACATCGCGTATCCAGCCTACGTTTGTTCTTGAACCAGCCCAATTCGGCAACCGCATGTCTAACAATCGATTTGTCATCAATGTGTCAGACGGTGAAAACATGACAGCGGGAAGGAAGATGGAATGAGCACTTCAAGCGCCTCCAGAACAAACAAGTTCTGAATCGGTGAGCAACATACACGACCTCAAGAACTGCTCTTTTTTTTTTTTTTCAAGAAGACGTTATATGGGCCACCAGTGACCAAAACACGGCATTCCGGTTCATATTGCGTTGGTGGAAGACTAATAAAGAGAATAATTCATCAAGCTCCAATCTCATGGGGCGACCATGTTGGGCAAATGTCCCCCTCTAGTGGCTAGTTGACGTCACAACTACCCACGCCGACTGCGAATAACGTGACCGAGAAAAGTCCGCCGGGTTGCGCGGTGTGCAGACTGTGTTGCTGAAATGATGATTTTAACTTGAACTTGCTCATATGTTGACCATAAGAGCGTGTTTTCATTATTGGTGGCAAAAACAATGTATTCTTGCAACAACAAAAAAAAAGGGGTGGGGGGTTTATTCCACCCTGTGTCTGTAACCTGCTGTAAAAAAAAAAAAGGCAGCAGGTGACAGACACAGTTGGATACGTACGGCATTTTGACATGTTAGCTTGGAGAACTTGTCGAAATTTTGGCCCGTACAAACTTAATGAAGCATATTGAAAGGCATTTTACTTTGGAGCTAAGAATAATGAAGCTGTTGTTCTTGTTTTAAAAATACCCTCTGAAAATACATGTGCTGTATTTTACATTTGTCAAGGCCGTTTCAATTGAGCTAGCGATGAGGTCCGCTAGCCAAAGGGACGTTTTTCGCCACCCCCACGTGAAAATGTCGTTCTCCACAGAGGCAGTCGTCCATCTGCAAAGTTCCTGTTGCCTCGTGGCCGTTGGAAGTGGCCAACCAAATTCGGCATTTGGAACGAATGTTATTTTGGGGAACTGTGGTCTCGTTGCTCGTGACAGGCAAAAGTTACGTTATCTGATTGGTGAAAAAAGTGCTGACGCAAATACTTTTCCTCACATTATTATTAAAGGCTCGACATGAGAACAAGTTAACGAGCCGCTATTAAATGTGAATTGACAGGAAGTTGACGTGACCCAATTCCGATTTGTTTTTTTTTTAATCCGTGTACGCCAATTCTGACAACCGTCACGTTAGCGTAAAAGCGTCTAACATGCGAACGACGTACTTACAGTAAATGTACATGCAATTGGGAGGTAAATATGTAAAATTAGAGCTGTATTGCCATGGAATAGAACATCAAAACGCTTCTTAAATGATGTGTAAAAACATTCCAAGAGATGTAAATACGCGAGTCCATAAATATTAGATTGTACTTTGAAGGCCATTGATCCGAACGAATATTAACATTACGGGGCTGTCAGAAAATGAGTTGACCGTCGCAGTTTCCCTGAAATACAAAACTTAAGTTGAATGGCTGCGTTTCTAAAGGTCGCATTTATAAAGGAGGGAGGGAGGGAGGCAGGGGCAGTATTGCGTTCATGCTATCACGCACACCCACAGTCATGAAGATTTGGAGGCACGGCCGGCAGCGGCGCGCAGGTTGACTTTCGCCTTCGCGTCGCTGAAAAGCGGAGCTAGCCTAGCCGCATGCTAACGCAGCAGCGCGCTCGATGCAACGCGCACGCACTGCAGATGGTGTGTCGAGCGAGAGGACAAAAGAGGACAAGGACTCACAAAGCATTCTGTGGGTTGAAGAGGAGGTGGAAGAGGACGAGGAGAAGGAGGCTTATACATCCGTGCTCGTCTCAAGCAAACAGTAAATAGCCCAAGAAAGACGAACCTGCTGATCCTGTCTGTGTGTATGTGTGTCTGTGTGTCTGTCTGCCTGCCTGCGCGCGCGTCTCCTAGCTACTGATGCTGGATGCTCCAGCCGCGGCCCCTCCCATCAGGGATGCTGCCCTACTTCCTCTCCTCCATCTTTGAAAGACTGCAGCTGCTGCGCAAGGACACACAGTGACGACATCTTCTTCTTCTTCTTCTGCACGCCTCCCATGTACAAAGTACACAGAGCAGCTCGCGTTGCCACAAATGTACAATACCTGTCCGATGGCCTACCCACCTGGACTGCATAAGGTACCAGCGATTTCATCCTCTGTACACCTCCAGCGTGCATATCGCCGGCGTCAAGCCGAAGCCCTTGTATCTCCAAAATTCTCCCTTTTCACGAGATGCCCAAACCGGCTCGTATGTTCAAACATTAACATTGCATCACGAAAGACAGCAGACCATTTTCAACACACGGACATCAAAAATCGTGCCCAACGATGTACAAAATGAACTCACAGCTTTCACTCTCTGCCTCTCCTCCATCTTTGAAAGACTGCAGCTGCTGCGCAAGGACACACAGTGACGACATCTTCTTCTTCTTCTTCTGCACGCCTCCCATGTACAAAGTACACAGAGCAGCTCGCGTTGCCACAAATGTACAATACCTGTCCGATGGCCTACCCACCTGGACTGCATAAGGTGCCAGCGATTTCATCCTCTGTACACCTCCAGCTTGCATATCGCCGGCGTCAAGCCGAAGCCCTTGTATGTCCAAAATTCTCCCTTTTCACGAGATGGCCAAACCGGCTCGTATGTTCAACCATTAACATTGCATCACGAAAGACAGCAGGCCATTTTCAACACACGGACATCAAAAATCGTGCCCAACGATGTACAAAATGAACTCACAGCTTTCACTCTCTGAGGATGTAAAAAGCAGGATTGAAGAGGATTTGACATTTGATCCTCTTCAGCAAAAACTAAAAATTATTCTCCTTTCCATTCTTTGTTCAAATTACCGCAGTGGCATACGAAACCTAGAAATGGCAAACGAGCAGGACTGCGAACCCAGAACCCGCGATGGTGGGGCTGAACTCAATACATCTATTTCATTTCGACATACGGTACCTTCAATGTATATATGGACGATCTGCAATGCTTGACATGAACACGTATTTCTGTCGGTCCTGCTCCGCGCAGCTCTCAAGTATGCTCACGTTTGCCGTTACCTGCCGTCATACGTGTTGACGCTGCTCTGGCGAAAGATTTTTGGATGGGAGCCACTTCTGCGAAGGGAACGCTTCAGCCTGGTGGACAGGAAAGCCTGAGCGGGAAAGCAGAAGAGCGCTCACACCGATGCCCGACATCGGGCCGAGAAGCATCTTCATCTTCCCGCCATGCCGGCGAGCTTCCTACCGTCACTTTGGCGGTGGGCGTGTCCAAGGCGCTGCTACTGAGTACGCTCAGGGGACGTGGCCTTCTCTCGGGATGCTCTGGAAAAGGTACAAAGCAGCCATCTTGGCTCAGCGAGCGCGCGCCACTTGGCCGCTCAGTGAGCCTCAAAGGCAAACGAACACTTGGAGAGCTCTTAGAAATGTCAAGCGCATTAGCCCCCCACCCCCCAAAAAAAATGGTGATTAAAATTTATGCTCACTCTGTATTCCTCATTAGAGTGGCAGTGCCACAGAGCCAGGATGCAAGGTTACCTTGGATTGGACCCCAGTGGATTGCAGGCCAACAACGGATTGGTCGCCAGCGAGTGACAAACGCGCACTGACACATGGGGTAATTTGTCAGTCTTCAATGAAAGAAAGACGCCAGCGAGTGAGTGCTAAAATGTAAGCGGGACTTGGACAAATGCACTTTGCTATTTCTACACATACACTTGACCGCCTCTAATCCCTTTTTGCATGGCGAGGTCCGGTAATACCAAAACGAATTCTTTGTAAATTTGACCCGGCGTATAAAAATAACGAGCACAAGAACGATAAGAACATTTTCTTCCCGACTTTCTTCTTCGCTCATCTCGCTCACTCTGTTGATCGCAGATTATGACCTGAATTTATGACACGAGATTAAGATTGTAATCTCCCCAAAATCAGGCCTAAACTCCTCTTCGCCCCAACACGCACAAACGCAGCAAACAATCAAAGTCCTTCTTACCAAAGGCATCTTCAAAGTGCTCGTCCATTGTGTGTGTGCGCCTGTGCCAGTGCGAGTGCGAGCGTGTGTTCTTCACCTTTGTGGGCGGAGTGTGAAGGTGCTGAGGTCACATGGAGGCGGTATCTTAGTAACCACACGGTACAAGACTCCGCCCTCTCTGAGACCAGCAAAGGATGAACCTGGAAGACAAAACCCAAAAGCAAAAAAAAAAAAAAAAGGGCCTTCAGAATTTCTAATCTGTTGTAAGGTCAAGTAGTGCATGTCAGCGGGGACACACCTTCAACTAACAAACCGCACTGATAAATAACTGAAATTACTGATGGATTGATACTGGCCAAGCAAAGCCTAAAGCCACGCGGGAGACTTTTAATGTGAAAAGGTCAGCAGGAAGTGAGGCGAGGCGAGGCGACTTCACCTCCAGGTCGTCCAGCAGGAGCAGGCGAGCGTCGGATAGGATGCACAACATCTTGCTCCAAGTGTCCGGCTCCGCCCTTTGACCGCACGACAGCCAATGGACGGAGGCGCTCTTCAGCTCTGCGACATCAACAAAACGCTCTCAGGACAGGAAATCAAATTGCTCACGGCAGCGTGCCGGGTGAAAGCGTGCTCATGTTGTTGACTCCCAGTTGGTCAATCAGGCTGCTGGATTTCCATCAGCCTGTTGCAACAACCAGACTATTGGGCCGTTGATGGCAATTCCGCTGGTGGACCCCGGGTGACCGCGATGGCAGGTGGCGCTGTCGTTCATCTCACGCTCGAGCAGACGGCGCCGATGCGGCGTTGTCCTGAAAATCTGAGCTCTTCCGTCCATGTGGCGGAGATTTTGTCGCCTTGTCAAAATGTGCTCCAAATGTTCACCTCGGCGCCTGAGACACTCCTGAATGCGGCGTGCCAAATTGTCATGAACAAGAAACAGAATTTTTGCGGTTCCCATGACCACGGGGGAGAAAAGTGAGCTCATTCGAGGACCACGAGTCATCCAGAATGTCCGGCTCAATCGTTTCCCAAAACCAAGGAGAAAAACTTCCCAAAAAGGGAGGGCTGCGCTTCTTGAGGAGCGGGGTTTCCAACCCTTGGTCTCGTGTCAAAAAATATTCACCATTCAAATAATCTCCCTGGCTACATTTAAATTGCAACTCAGATGGCACCGAAATATGACGAAAAGGTGCCTTTGGGAACCTCAAAAGTGCAGATCTTTCCACTGAAGTTTCGATTTTTTTGTGTGATGCCAGCATTTGAAACTCTCTCACTTTTTTTTTTTAAATAAATTCACTTCAAGCAGACAATGGAGACACCACAGTTTGACCCTGGAACTGATTATCGCTCATGGCACAAAAAAATAAAATAAAATAAAATTCAAGATCCCAATGTCAACAAAGCAGCCGTCAGTCAATCAACTCACCGATTACATTCATCCAGCCGAGATGTTGACATCGGGATAGATGTTTGACCAGCTTCTCCATGGCAACGATAACCTAATATGCAGTGCGCGCGCGCACACACACACACACACACACACACACACACACACACACACACACACACACACACACACATAAAACATAAGACAATGTGTACTGTATACACATGGAGTCAGACACACACATCGACACAAATGACACACCTGTCAATCAGTCATCAAGTCAGAGAAGAAAAAGAACACGTCAACCGTCGCGCTAACCTGGCTGGTCTAACTAAGCACCTTAAGAGCATTAGCAGATTATTTCCTCTTACTCTCACTGTGCGAGCACACACACACACACACACACACACACACACTACTGCTGTGACATCATCATTAACTTGAAATTCCGTCCATTGTCAGGGTGGGGGCCTCTTGTTTTGCTTTTATTGTGAAGGAAACATGGTTAAATATTGTATTGACTTTGGAGCAGATGAGGAAAGACGAGCCGCGGGGTCAAAGGTAAACAGTTGTATTGATGCCAATGGATCAGACGAGGAAAGTGGGGTTGCCATAGGAACACCATTTTAATTTACCGCCTGTGAGACACTCGGAAAAATGAAACAATAAATAACGATGATCGACACTTTGTGTCTATTGATCGATTCCGGCTGATCGATGGTATCCCTTTGCCAATATCGCTTGACCGAGAACGTCAAGCGTTCTGGGACTCCGCCGGGCAGAGCGTTCACCTACAACGTTCACACGGTGCACCTTCTCCGCTCCGTCAAAGTGGGCGTCGTCATTGACACCTCAACTGTACCGCCCATTTTTGAAGCTGGATTCTTGACATTCAATCAATCACCCTCGCCGTCCCTGGTTTATGGCATGAGGGCGTTACGCCCCGTGACACCCCACGCTCGAGGAAAAATCGACCAAGTAGCGATCATATTTTCATTCAAGATTTTTGGGGGGAAAGCTTTATGCAAAATAGATTGATGATGTTTCTGGGGCGAGTTTGATCGGCAGGTGGAGTAACTTTGGGCTTCTAAAACAAATTGAAATGCCTTTCCAGGTTTGAATGCCATGAAATAATTTCTTTAAAACTTTTATTTACAAAAGCACTGCACAACAACCGCAGCTCTAAGAAAGCGATGTACATAACTGATAAAAGGCAATAATACAATCATAAATATCTCATTAAAATGTTATCTTCTCATAAAAATGTACAATAGCTCCTTCAACACTGCACGAAGACGACTACGACTTATACAAAGATAATACAGTGAATGTGATGTTTCAATATTGTGTGTATTTATGATCAGCCGCCACGCCTTAGGACGACGCCAAGATCGATACTAATTTCCGTTAGCGCGCCGAAGGCATTTCACATTATATGTTAGCATGAAGCAAACAGGCTTGGATATCGTTTGGTTGAGCATTTTTGCAATCGACTTCTAATGAACAGCTTGAAGCAAGCATGCAGACTAGTTGGAAATGTGCGCCAAAAGAACAAGTGCTCAAGAATATACTTTTTTTTTTTTTTTAACAAAACATCTCTTGACTATATGACATGTTTTTTCATACGATGAAGTGAAATGTGGTCAATTGAAAGTGTTTGAAGCCCGTGGAAGGAGACAAATTCGTCTCCGGCCTTCATTGCCGATTTTACCCCATTGCGGGTTAGCGTGTCCAACATATCCCCTGTGATAAACGGGGGGTTCACATCCCGTACACGCCGTGTGCACCGAGCGGAGTTGGTGCCGTGTGTGCACCTCGCCTCTAGTAAGGTGCGGAGCCTTCCCACTGCAGCAGGTACTGCAAGGCGCCATCCGCGGTCACGCGGCGAGCCAGCACGTGGTAACGCTCGCCCTCCATCAGTCTGTTCGACGCGCCGAAGTACGACGAGATTGACGAGTGCAGGCGGGACGCGTCGGAAGGCCGGGACAGGAAGCGGGAGGAGTCGGCGGCATACGGGCCTTCCTCGGTACTTCCGGGAGGCTCCTCCTCCTCCCCCGCTTCGCTACGAATGGCCCAATGCTTGTAGGCGGAGCTCGGCAACTTCCTCTTCCTGCTGCCCACCTTTCGTCTGAAGACAGAGGTCAAAGGTTGAGCTAGGCTGTGCTGCGAATCCTTGACTCAGTCTCTCTGGTGTCATATTGGAGACCCAGGGGCCACATCGTTTTATGTAGCAAATCGCGTGTGTCCGAAAAAAGGTCAAATTGCCGAATGTAAAAAAAATAATCCCGACATGCCTTTAACGGAACTTGAACAATTGGTGAACAAACTCTTCACTTGGACTTGAGATTCTGATGTTATCCATCATCAACTGTACGCAACGTCAAAGTTCAACAAGCATTCTCTCTGGCTGACAGTGACCCCGCCTCCTTTTTTAGCTCCTACCTGGCTGGTTGAAAGGAGCCGCTGGTAGAGACGGAAGCTGATGTGGAAACGTCGCTGGAGTCCTGATCAACACACGACGTCCGACTGCAACACGACATTCCCGTCAACGCCGTCGCCAATGTATGGTATGTGTGTGTGTGTGTGTATGTGTGTGTGTGTGCACGTGTGCGTGAGACCTCCTGAGCTTGTGTAGTTCGTCCAGGGTGAAGTCAAAGATGGTGGCCATGTGGTGATGATCATTCTGCATACGCAAACATAAACTATTTGTTTCAACAACAAACAAACAAGTGCAGGTGAAACAAAGCGTCCTCACATTGGGGATGGCGTCTTCAAACAACCATTTGGATTTCCTCTTCCTCCTCTCTGATAAAGTACTGCACACACACGCCCAGTCACAACGGGCACCTGTTGCGATGCTGAATATGACATTTATGGTTGGAGACAGTAGAAGTGGTTACCTGATGTGGCCAACGGTCTTCTTACAGCCCCGCCCCGCCTCGCCGTGAGCGCGCTCAGGGAAAAGTTTGGAGGGTGGCGTGGGAGGAACGCGAGTCCGTAGACGAAAGATGCACTTCCTTTTTTTGATCTCTTTCCCGCACAGGAACCTGCGCCCATACAAAAGCAACACACACATCACACAAATGGACAGAAAGCGCTTGGGTTGTGTTGTGCGCTCTCATCATGATGGAAGGACCGCAAGTTGCAAATCACGACATCAGCTCATTGGCTGCTGTGGAACTTTCTACTGGCCGAGTGAAATCCAAGCACTCACTGCCACCCACCAATATTTACATCACGCACGTCGCTCAACGGCAAGGCGTGGAAGAGGATCTCGCTCAGCTTGTCTGCGAAAGCTTCGGAGTGACTGTAATGACCAACGGATGCCTGTAGATGGCAGCGTTTTACATCAACGCCCACCAAACAGTTTTCAAAACTGGTGGGAAGCAACGAAGAAAGCTGTGATGTGGACCATTTCGACAGAAAATCTGCAGTCGACCCGCTCATATTCGTGTTTTTTTCTCAAATTTTCAAAAATATTTTTACATTTTCCAGGTAAACCTCATCCAGAATGTGTGAATGAGTGAATGTTTTCAAACGTTTTAATAGAGGAAATATCTAGGTCCAGCATTTAAAAAAAAAAAAAAAAAATTCCAATCACAGCAGGGACTTACTTGCTCTTGTACTTGTTGAGGGCGTCGAGCAGGTGCTGCCCCCTGTCTGCCGGAGGAGTGTTTGACAACTACACATGGAAGCATACGACGGCCGAGAAAACTGTTAGGGTGAGGGTGAGACGGCGCTGTGTTCAGCTGGCGCTTTCATTTGTTACCTTTCCAAGCTGCAAATGTTCCCAGTGCGTATTCACAAAAGCCAGAATTTCATCCAGCTCAAAGTACTTTTTCTTGTTGCTCAGTGACAGGTTGTAGAGAACCAGGTGGACCACGTCGACCCAGCGAAGAGACAAACGGCGCACATGCTCCAATCCTTTGTTGCAGATGCAACACATGAACAAGTAGAACCTGGAAGGAGGGACGGGGAGAGAGAGTGGACACAAGGTCAACACGGCCTTGAAATCGTCTCACGCATTTTGTTCAGAAAATCCTCATCGCTTTTCAGCACTTGTAGAAGAAGCAAATGACATTCTTCAAGACACGTTTTGCCTTTCGTCACTTTTTGGTCGTGGCAACTTGCGCACTCACCTGTCTCCGAACACCATGCTCTCCTGCAGACACTGGGTGCACGCCTCGTGGAACCACTGCTGACACTGGAAACACTGAAGCATCTTCAGATACCACCTATATGCATACGCACAAAAATGTAAATAAAAAATGACAATAAATAAATAAACATAGCTCACCCGCCACAAACACAACTTCAACATCAACACGACCCTGTGTAAGTGTGAGTGTGCGTGTGTCTTACTCTCCGGGGCCTCCACAGTAGCAGTAAGACTGCTGCTGATTGGTCCGATGCTGAGAGTCCCAATCGAGAGCGTCCAGGTCGTAGGACAGAACCTGCTTCATGGCTAACAGAGCTTTGGCTAAGGGCCCCTTCTTCAGAGCGCCACCTTTCTAAAGGGAGACAGGGAGGACCAAGACTGTGACATCATTCCTCCTCATACGGCACTTTCATGAAGATAAGTGTGGATGTGTGCGCGAGTGTGGGTACCCTGACAGCCAGGGCGAAGACACAACGTCGACAAAACCAGGGACTCATCTCACTGCTGCCTTCTACAGGAGGACCGTGACACTTCTGGTGGAAACCTGAGGCCCACACAGACGGACGGACAGGTGATGTCATCACAACATTTGTATCCAATAACTCTCACCTATGCCGCACTTTCCACAAATGAGGATTTGGTTCATTTGAGCTGCAGAGCTTGGCCCTGCCTCCAGACACACCGAGCAACGAGCCTCCTCCCCCGGCACACCGGCTGCAAGATGAGCGGATACATCCTCAGTTACAGTTACAAAGGGATGACAATCTTTTTTCAACTAGATACTCTGCCCGTCTTTAGTTCCTACTAATCTACTAACACCAGCCCCCCTGTACCCGCAACATGTGCGCGTGTGTCTCACCATGCTGAATATCCTTCCATAGGACCCAAAACTTGGAGTTGTCCTCAAAAGTGACAAAGCAGCTCTGTCTCGGCAGGCTGAGCTGTGCACCAATCAGAGCAGAGTTAACATGCAAATGCCCATCACAAATGTCCGATATCATGTAGCTTGTGAATGAAATGTAAAATGTCACTTCTCGTGTCTGTGCTTGACAGCCTTGGCAAGCTTCACTGGACATAACAGACCTATTTGGCCAGATGTTGAATGTGCTGGTGTAACGTTACCCGGAGAATCTTGCCCAGGTAGTAGAGGCCATCCGACCAATGACACAGCACAAACTGGCCCACGCTGAGGCTTGACTCCGGCCTGCCTTCATCAACCTGCGGCCTGCCGTCATCATCCTCTGGCCTGACGTCATCCTCGCTCTCCTCCCAACTTGCAGACGCAGGCTCGGGAGGTTCCTCTACGCAGGAGGCTTCAAAAACGTCCTCAAACATGCCGACCGGCCTGACACCCAAAACACGTCACGTCACATGAGATCAACAACCCGGAACTACCGTTAGCAACTACGGTCATTTTGGTCATCGCACCTTCGTTATCCTTTTCAGAAGATTTGTGACCTGCTTAATTGTTTTATTGTACGCCTCAAGCGACGAGAAGACATCTACGTATTTGAAATGCAAACAAGTCAAAACGAATTCGACCCTCGAACGTCTCGCACGACACTGGTTACTGAACTGAACTTGAGTTACTTACTGACTGACTTACTAACTTGTATCTATTCACTTAAATGCGTTTGCGCTGTTTTTAATAGCGACACACAAGCGAACGTCTCGTTCGACAAGAATCACAAGAACAAGTTACCGTGTTGGATGCTAACGCGCAGCTGCCTTCTCTCTCCGCTTTCGTTTCGTCTTCTTGTCGTTGTTTTTACGACGCTGTCAGGCATCCGCATCAAACTTCCACCATCGCCATTTTTCTTTCTTTTTTCTTTTTTTTTTTTTTTTTTGCTTTTCCCGCCAAACACTCCCTGGGCTGTCCCTCATTTACATATGTGACGTCATTTGTGACGCCATCAACTGTTGTCACGACGAGCGACCGTTGTTTCGTTTCCACTGAATGTTGAATTTCACCAAATTTCTTGACATCGATAAGAAACGCCCCATCTGTTCAAATGTACGTGAAAATGTAACCCATTTCTTTTGTGGTGGCTCATCTTAAAATCACTTTTGGAAAGAACATCAAACTGTGCTTAACATATAAGGGAAAAAAATCTGATACAGTATTTCGAATCTATTGAAAATCAATTTTACGTCATTATCAATCTATATATCTTCCTCTGAAAACTACGGATTGATAAATGTAAGTTAAAACAAATTATCAGTATTTTTCCCAATAGTTTTTAAATCAAGTTGTAACTTATAATTTTACATCTCTTAAATGGATCACAAATTTTTAAAAAGTGAAGTTTTGATGAATATTCATTCCCTGTTTTTCAAGCAATAATTGTCACAAAAATGATTGAAGTCTACCCCCCCCCATTCTTTCATTTCTTTGTCTTCTTTTTCCTTGTTCCTGTTAATAAACCCGTCATTACCTCAATGAACTGGAAGGACCGAACTTATTTATACAGTAGAAAAATGTCAATAGTCATTGAAATGAACAAAGAAAAACTTTGTTTCATTTAATTGCTGAATCATTTTAAAAATTCCAGTCATGTTTTTACCATAGGCCCCAGTGACCGAAATACCTTTTAAACAGTTTTAGAAAATAAATGATGTCATACAGTAACGTACATGAACACAAATACGGAAGAGACAGTTCTACATCAAAAAAAAAAAAAAGGTATTTTAATGAAAATCTTTCAACCCTACATTCAACACAGTAATAAGTTCTTATGTTGTTTTTAGAGCAATCGCAAAACACTTTTAGATACAAGAACAGGCTGGAATTCGATGAACCACATGACATGGTGGAAGTGAAACGACAGCAGAAGTTTGACTGCTCAAATCTTTTCAAACTTCGAAAGCGTGTAAAGTGATGATCATATTCCATCCAATGGGAAGCGCACTGTATGTCTTTTCTGTGAGGGGTGAAAGGTCAATTGGGTTTGGCTGCGGGCCGTATCTTCATCTCGGTGAATCTCAGAGAGTACTGCCACCCGGTCCAGCTGGACCACTCCACACCGTCAGCGTAAGAGGCGTGGCCTCCTCCCAGGTACTGCCCGTTCAGGTTGGACGTGTGACAGTTGCGGTACCACCAAGCGCCCTGGTAGTATGTGGCACAGTTGTTCTCTGACTGGTCCCGGTCCCGGTCTTTTGTGGTGAACTGCATTCCGGAATGCTTCAGGAGGGAATCGCCTGGAGGGCACACAAACTTTCTTTCGTCTTCCTGCACGCTCTACCATTCGCTCGCTCCCGACGGGGCGTTTTGCTGCTTTCAGCCTATTGAAAGCGTTCGCTCTCCAGGCTTTGCTAGCGAGGATGGTGCTGTTTGGAGTTGCTACCTGCAGTTCCTGAGTAGCCGTCCACAGCCAGTGGGTATCCGTCCTCCTCGGGATTGACCGAGTCGCGGCCCACGGAGAATTCGGTGTAATGAGCGAAGGCTGTGGCGTTGTCGAAGTCGGCCATGTCGATTCGCAACTCGTAACCTCCTGACCGTGTCATAGCGTAGATCCTCTGCAGGCCTGAAAACATGCAAACACCCAAACACACCATCATGCGTGTATAGCCAACAAAGTGTCACTTAGACAAATGAAAGATGTGGCGGGGGGGCACATGGATGATCCACTTCACAATTGGTCCGGGTGTAGATTTGTGCTGTAGCCCCCCCCCTAAGCCCCGCCTCTTTTCATAGATTAGCCAATCACAATGGTCAATTGCCATGCTGCCACTCTAACACGGGCCTTCTTCTTTGGAGCTGGTCTCCTTTTGTCTTTTTGAGCACAGGTGGGTTTGCAAACAAGCTAATTTTGGGCAACAAACAATTCAAATGAATTGTTATTTAATAATAATTAAAAAAATTTAAAAAAAAAAGAAAATTTATAGCCACACCTGTGCAAATAGATGGCTTCATAGTTGAGTTGTATCGAATGTCTCTAGTGCTGCCACAAGAGGAGTCATTTTGTGCGTGTGTGCGTGTGTGTGTGTGTGTGTGTGTGTGTGTGTGTGTTTGTGTTTGTGTGTATACGTGTATTTCAGACCTAGCCAGTGCTCTCCTGTTGTTGTTCCAAAGCCATCTCGATATGCATCCCAACCACGAAAGAAATTGACCGAGCCGTCCTGTCTTCTCTGGATCACCTGCATGCAACCACACACACACACACACACACACACACACACACACACACACACACACACACACACACGCATCAGGCTAACAGCTTGAGGTCTGCTGTTTGTCCGCTAAGCAAATTAGCATGATTAGCTCATTAGCGACAATGTGTACTGAGGTGACTGGCTAATAAGCTCGCCGTGTTGAGCTTCCTGAAAGCGTCAACCTTAATGAAAACATCTTAACTAAAACTTTATTGTGGATTTTTTTGTTTGTTTGTTTTTGTTTGTTTTTATTTGGGTGGAGTGGTCAAGCACGTACGGTCCAGCCTCCCCCATCTGTGCTCAAGTCGCAGTAAACCATGAAGCCACCGGGCTCATGGACGGGAAAGATGGAATAGACGCCATCTTGAGAATTTCCTGCCGCCATGACCTCACTGCAGTCTCTGGGCGTGAGAGCTAAAAGCACAAAGATGCGTGAATGACCAATGAATGGAAGGCGCTTCAAACATGACGTGCTACCTTTGCGTTTGTCCCTGTGAAGTCTGTTTAGACTCTCTGTCTCTCTCTGGAGACTGGAGAGCGAATCTGTCAAAGCCGAACTGAGCTTCAGGACCCCGGCGTGCTCGTCTGACAGCACCTGCACACAAATATCAAAGATTTTCAGGTCAAGAGAAAATGGACGAGCACAAAGGGAATGTTGGACGGCTGCATCTTTCAGCACACACAATCAACCTATCTCTCATTGAAGTTGCTCCACCCATCATCATAAAAGCAGCCTAATAAAACAACAACAAAAACAACACAACAAAAACCAGACAAAGACTTTGCAAACTGCTTTTCTTGTACTTTGTTTTCAAACATTACTATGGAAAGGTAACAACATTGAAAATGTCTTCTGGTCGCTGGTTTTTCAATGGGGCCAACTTCCAGAACAACCCATGATAAACAAAAATCCGCCAAGCAACAGCCATGTATATGTTTTATTACTTCATACAAATGCTAACACTTGATGTAAAATACACACACAAGAAGTGTTGGTATTATTTTTGTCCAGTTGGGCTCGCTCACCTCAGTTCTACCCTATGGTATTTGTGACGTTGAATGTGTGTGGTTTTTTAAAAGGCAGGGCCAGACTTGATGAGTGACATTGGAGCCAGCCAATGAGAGTGCAGTTGGCTGCTGTTTGCAGCTGGCTGCTAAGTGGCTAACCGCTATCCACCAGCGATTGTGTCTTCGCTTGACCGCCTGCGGACGGATTACAATTGTCCGATGCGCTTCCTCACCTGAGCGACACGGTTCTGCTGGTTCTGCAGGTGTTCCAGTCTCTGCTCCAGAACCCCTTGGCCGCTTTTCAGCGCCTGCGCTTCCCGTCGGAGGTCGAGCACGTGTCCCGCGGTCGCCTTGAGCTCCTCAACCAGTGCCTGGACGCGGCCCATCCCCTGCCAGTCTTCGGCGTTACGCATGCTCAGCGCCCGTATGAGTGAAGTGTGCAGCGCCTCCCAGCGTTCAAAGTGCTGGGCGGGGTCGGGACAGTTGGGGTCCAGGAAGATGCTGATGGGTTCACCGTCGCCCTCCTGTGACACCGTCACCAGGGCGCCCGACTCTTTGGGATTGGTCGAGATGACGGGGGAAGAAGACGACACCTCGTCTCTGGGACCGGATTCACATGGAGATACCATTTGCATGTGTTAACATTCATTCATGAATCCCGTCATTTCAGCGGGCGGCCATCTTGGCACTGGCTGTCGATTGCAAACTCCATCGCATGTGCCAGTCGGAATTCGGTTTACCAATGTCACATGACCAAACCCAGAAAACAAGTGCGCCGTGATTGGTCGGCTGCTGAGCCCGAACCAACTGTGATGTCATTTTCAGTCCACAGCGAGTGGAGAAATGGCCGCATCCTCGGAAGGACCAAAACGGATTTAGCTTTATTCGTTTCTATTTCACAAACACAATATTCACGAGAATGCCATGTTTAGACTCGTGGGACTGTACAGGACCCATTTTGGGCTTGAAATGACCTTTCATGAGGTTCTGTTGTTTCAAATGGGAGAAAATCTAGCCTTTGTTTCCACATATTGCATACGAAGTGAAGAAATGAAGCATTGCGTGTGCCTGCATGTGTGTGCACCTGTTTATGAAGGGCAGCGGGTAGTGCTTCACATAGAGGATGGTGACCGCTGCCGTGACAATCGCTACCGTGACGACCATCAGGACCGTCCACAAGAGGAAGCTGCAGCATTTCTGTGCATGCAGAGCAACCAATGGCAAAAGTTAGCAAAGTACGTCCAACTGGTTTCTGCCCACAAACCGGTCGCCAGCCACTCACGGGGCACACACAGAGACCGATCAAGCACTGACGCGTCACCGAGTGACAAACGCTAGCTCACGACACTATCATGTATCCCAATAACCACTCGGGCGCCTTAGTTCGCCACGTGCCGTTAGCTAGCTAGCTATGCCTGCGCCGTGAAAATGTATCTTCCCTTCGGCTAGTCTGCCTTCGGCAGCTTTCGAGCGCCTTGTCGTGGCAGCGTGGAAAAGACGCTCGACGACCGTACGACTTATATAGTGGAGCCACCGGAAGCTTCAAGTAGAGATCTGTCGTTACGTGTTAGCATAAAACAGATGCTAGATGAAGTCGATTCTTTTTGTCCCGTTAGCAGCAGCTTGCTGGTTTTTGAGTGACAGCTGTCAATTGAACGGGGGTTTACGTTCACGCGTTCAGCCGATGACAGCGGCGAGAACGGCTTGATTTGTCACCATTTTCAAGCGTGATTTGATTTACTTCACCATTTTTGGAGATGGGGGGGCATGGAGGGGATCATTTCAACTTGGTAGCCTTGCTAAGAACACGTTTCGCAATGCTGCGTCCAATTTGCAGGAAGCAGTTCGTCGAATGTTTGGTTGACAGGACGCAGGACGTGAGGTGTCCGGGTCTCTTTTTCTTCAGGCATTAAGGCAGTCTCGTCGCCACGACGACAGCTGCTAAAGATTACAAGCGCCTTGACTACAGATTAACAGAAATTAACTCTCTGCTGCCTCTTCTTTGTCTTTATTTGCCATTTCTACTCACTCACTACCTTCAGATTCCAATCTATTCTGATTTTTGGGATTTTTTTTTTTTTTAATAGGAATTTAGTGCGTGGTTTGTTGATTCCGCATATTGGCGCTATAATTCGGTTTCAGTGGTCGCTACAATGACAATCAAGCTGTTCTGATTTGAATTTCTTCTGCTTCTTCACTTTGGCACCGGGTCTCAATCGGGTCTCAGTCGCTGATTCATCATCCTAATCCCGGCCTGGCGACCAGTCCCCATCCTAGTCCTGAGACCAATCCAGAGATTCATTTTCAAATGTCAACACCTCATGCGAGGATTGTTGTCATGAGCACTGAAATATTTTCTTTGTCTACTTCTTTCTTTCTGACTGTCTTTCTTTCTTTCTTATCTTTCTTAATTTCAACGACGTCCCAGCCCGCGTTACCAGAGTGAGTCAAAGACAAGAAACAAGCAGCTCAATGGGTGGGACGTACCTTGCGCCTGTTTTCTCGTTTGCCGTCCAGCTCCGAGCTGCTGTTGTTCATCACGGTCCAGCTGTCATTTAGCATCATCCTGAATCACAGCACAAAAAGAAAGAAAGGAAATCGAAAGACGAGAAAAGAATGCCAAAGCAAACAACATGACAGAAGATGAAGCAGGAGTCCAGCAAGAGGGTTGAACGATTGAAACGTTTGTGGGTTGCACTTGGCCAGAAACAAAATGCTGACGTGTATTTCATCCGATTCCCGCAAAAAAAAACCCAAAAAAACAACCTTCCTAAAAGTCTTATTTTCTCAACGTCAAACTTTGCTCTTGCATCTTTCATCGTCTTCGTCACTCATCATCGGCCATTAAGAAGAGTAATGACGGAACTGACTTACTTGTCTGCCTCGAGAGAGAAAAAACACAGAGAGAGAGAGAGAGAGAGAGAGAGAGAGAGAGAGAGAGAGAGAGAGAGAGAAGGTGCCACTCTCGAGTCAATCTACTCAGATTAGCCCTCAATCTGTGCGGATTGACTTGAGACGGCAGATTAACAAAAGCAATGTGTCACTGCACCTTCATGTGTGTCACACACACACACACGCACACATTTTCACCACAGGGTAATCACAATCCTCTCCAATCAAAAGCACAATTGTCTCGAATTCCAAAAGTAATCATCAAGTCTAATCAATCGGCAATCCATGAGCCGTGGAACGCAGCAATAGAATATTTTTAGATTTCATCTGAAGGAATCAACTTGACTCTACTTGGCAAGAATCGCTGATAAGAGTCGGAAATTGGAGCATTTGGACAGTTTCAAGTGAAACGATAACTCGAAATGATTAGTTATTGATTACTTGATTGACTGTTGCCCCACTAAACAGTTGCAATCATCATCAATACAATACCAAGCGTAGTAAAATGTATACACATGAGCGCGCGAGCGTGCGCGCGCACGCACACACACACACACACACACACACACACACACACACA